ATGGGGGCTGGGCAGAACTGTGGATCAGTTGGAAGGTAGGGGATGTGACATATGGAGCTAGATTGGAGGGAGAAAGAAAAGGAAGAGAAAGAAACAAAAGCAGAAAAAATGGTGACACTGCAGGAGCCAGTGGGTGGGGGTAGGGTGGATCTGGGGCAGCCATGGCCCAGCAGGACGGGGTGGAGGTCGCGTATGAGGCTAGGTGGAAGGAAATAAGAAAAGGAAGAAAGGGAAAAAGAAAAAAAAATTGCACAGCAGCCTGTTGTTGGGGGGGTGGACTCAGGCAGCTGTGGGCTTGTGGCTCTCTAGTCAAGCAGCACAGCGTGGCCCATCAGGAAGGGGTGGAGGTGGCATACAGGGTTAGGTAGGAGGGAGAAAGAAACGGAAGAAAGAGAAAAGAAAAAAACGTGGCACAGCAGGAGCCAGCACGTGGGGCAGACCCAGGACAGCAGCAGGCCAGAGGTGGCATACGGGGCAGAAGGATGAGGGGTGGGAAAGCGTGTTTCTCTGGTTACCAGGAGCTCTGTCTCTGTTGGGGGCTCTGTGAAGTTGCCTTCCCAGACTACCTGTCTGGAGTCGTTGCTGTCTATGTTCCAAGATAGTAACATCTTGCTGTGTTAGTTGGCAGGGGACCTACACTCCCTATCTCTCCACGTTCTGTTTTCTTTCAGCTTCTTCTTCCATTCAGTATTTGATCTAGTTCTTTACCCCTTCATTTGATGCTTAGGATTCCAGGATTGACATTTTGGGTCTGTTTTGCTTGTTTTTTTGGGTCTTTGCTGCAGAGGAACAGCATGGTGCATCTGTCTATGGTGCCATGTTGGCTCTACCTCCTAAATATTTTCTTTTAAATATAGAAATCAAGTGTACATGTGGAGGTCTCCCCAGACTTTGGAGCTTTGGTTTCGCCATGTATTACAGTCTTGGCTGTCTTAAAATAACCTGAAGTGTTTGTCTTGCCTTAGTTTGTCCTTCGTCCGAGTGTTCAAAACTTGTTGTGGGTGACCAGGCCCCTCATGCAGAATGGTGGCCCAGAGACCTTCACACAACTGATGGGCATCCT